ATATATATATGTGTGTGTGTGTATAAAATGAGGTTTTGATACATGAATAGGTAAAATAGCCAAAAGTCGGCTCAGTAATTGCAATGGTTACAAAAATCTTACAGAAGACAAGTATAAACAGGAAAACACAGAATATTCACTCGCATCAACAAATGTTACCTTCAGGGCCCGTTGGAAAGTGCTGATGGAAAGCAGAGCCAAGTCCTGCTGCTCCTCTGCATACCTCACAAGGTACACATACACAAGTTTCTTCAGCTGCCATGAAAAAAATAAACAGAAAAACCATAAAACAACAGGAAAAGAAACCCAACTAGTGTATGAGCAATAGTCCAACAAACCTGCTCTAGAGGGTACACACAAAATCAGTTTTGGTTAAACTTTGAAAAACATCATGCTGAATATTATAAACATTTTTTACAATGTGTGAGATGGTATCAGAATCAAAAAAGAAAATCCTAATTTTAGACAAACAACCCTTTCATGTTCACTATTGTCTTGTTTTTAAGGTTTTAAATGGACCTGCTCTCCCACCACAAAACGTTTATCCAGAAGTATAAAACCAGAATAAATACCAGAACACAAACTAGAGGGGGCTGTGTGAGAGCGGAGCAACATGGAGGAGTCTGGGTGAAAGGTGACAGGTATTAGAGGAACACATTTGTGGAATAAACTACCAGGAAATGACAGAGACACTAACAATTATCCAATCAAGCAAGATTTGTTCAATGTGCTTTGTGCACGTTTTATGACTTTGAAGTTTTACTTTTTATTTGCCTGGGACATTAGATGAAATGCAGTTAATTCTGGTGCATTTATGTTGTTGTGTAATGCAGTGATGTTGACAGATGTGCACTGTCCCCATCAATAAATTAAAATAAAATAAAACAAAACCATACTGGGAATGAGTCTCAGCTTCTATCAAACAAAGACTTTACTCCATTTTTGTTAAATTTACTGTGTTATAGCAATTATTGTGTTTGTTGCAGCTACATATCAGCCACGGTCAACTTCATACTGGGCCATATATGTCTGAAATGTCCTGCTGGGCCAGACCTGGAAATGTCTAGCTGACTTGTTTTGTGTCATTAAGGTGTGATGGATCACATATGTAGGGGTCACCTCGGGTGAGGAAACAAGATTTTCTGCATCTAAGCAGGCCTCGGACGGGCCTGAGAAGAAGACAGGAACTCTGTTACACTCTGAACTTGACTTAGGCCATGACAGGTCATTCTAACCGTGGAAGAGAACCACTCAGTTCTCTTAATCAGATAATGGACAGAACAATCTCCTTTGTTCGTGGTTCATTTGTCATTTAACTATGCATGTTTATTGGAAGGTATGTATGTATGTATGCATGTATGCATTTGTTAAATAATGCCTATCACAGGAAAAGTAGAACAACTTTTCTTTTACTGTGCCTTAAAAATTTATAATGGTATAAAAAAAATCACAGAGAATCTGATTACAATGTTTTCATTGTTTTTATGCAAATCACTGTTTTTATTTTACTGTGAACACAGTAACATAATTGTGGATTTTTCCTGAGAAAATCTTTCATTTGTCTGAACTAACAGGGTGGTTTAGAGTTGATTATGAACAGAAATGTTGCTGCCAATCAACATAAATGTTTTTCAGTGATTTCATTAGGAGTCTATCAGAAGGAAGTTAAAGAGGTTATCAAGTTGTTTGCCCAACTATACAAAGTAACCTTGACTGGTGCCTGGCGAAATCTTTATCTTTCCTTTTCTCTGACTCATCTTTAAGCCTGAGGGCGGAACCAAAGTTGTCCGCTCTTATTACTAACCCGGACAGCTTTGAGAGACACACTCTGACTTCCTAACTCAACAAGGAAGGGCTGTTTTTCTCCTTCGGGAGATTTCAGCTGAGGAGCTGTAGGTCTGACTCAAGCGCCAAAGAGTAGATCTTTACAGCCAGGGATTCGACAAACCTGTGAATTCCCTCTGTGGTTTCAAACCTCCAGGTAATTATTTTTCCCTTTCAATGGTGAAGGTGATTTTATTTTGAAGGAGAAACCAGATTCAGCTCGATTTTCTGGCCAGGACTGAGGCAGATGCATAAAGAATACCCGAGAAATAACACGTGTTTTATCGATGAAAGGTGAGCGGACCGACAAAGTCTTCTGACCGATCAGAGATGGCCAGTCTTGCTACTCAGAAGGTGTCTTAAGAAGTCATCAGCAGGTAAAAAGTCTGAAGTGTTTTGGTGATTGTGTCCGGCGGAAACTGGGTTAAGAAAAGATGCGCAGATCCGGATGACTCACATTTTGGTAAAAAGTAAAAGCAGTAAAATTACTAACCCTACTTTTTCCTCCTTTTGTTGTATTATTTGCCTTGCCAGAATCTAAGTAATGTGCAGGTAAATGTTTGGTATTTAACATCAGAACTGACGTTTTACTGTTCTATTATAAGTAATTTGAGTTGATATTGATTGAATTTAGACACAGATTTTTATCTTATTAATTCTGAAAGCTTGTTATAGTTAACCGATTACCCACAATTAAGTTGTTAACTCATGATTTGTTTAATTTATGTAGATAAATGATCGCATATCGTTTATGGATCAAATTGAACTCATCTGAGTGTTCCACTTATTGAGTGTCCTTTTCACTTCGCACAGTCAAGATATTGACGAAGAATAAGAAATTCCTTGGTAAATAATTTCCTCATAACCTTGTTTATGAGAGATGTGGAAAAGGCTTATATTCCTATAAGCCAGCTCTTACACATAAAAACCAAAAGGGTACAGAATGGTACATATTTATATTTCCAATCCAACCACAGTCAAATCCACTCTATCCAGGAAGTGCCATTAATCTGGATAGTTTTTTTAACGATGAAAAGCTGAAACGAAAACAAGTCAAATTGAAATAAAAATGAAATACCTTTTGCATTTTTAAAAGGAGTAGAAAGTAGAGATAATTGCATGAAAATGTAAGTAGAGGTAAAAAAAAAAAAGCAGGCTGAAAAAAACTCTTCCAGTAAAGTATAAATAATCAAAATCTCTACTTCAGATAAAGTATTGTACTATACTTGACACCTCTGCCTAAACACATTTGATACCTTAGTCTTAAATGTGACCCAAAAATGGCATTCTACATACAGTATTCTGACTGAGCTTTGGTCCCCAGCTACTAACTGAACCTGCTGTAATTTCAGGCACAGAAGAAAAAAATGTGGATTATTTCTGTTCCTTTCAAAACTGGTGAAACTACTGTAACTTTATTTTTTTTTATTTATTTACCGTTATTTTACCAGGTAAGTTCCGTTGAGATCTCAGATCTCTTTTTCAAGGGCGGCCTGGGCCTGAAGGCAACCTATTGTACATGTTTTTAGGGGTGGGGGAAACCGGAGTACCCGGAGAAAACCCACACAAGCACGAGAGAACATGCAAACTCTGCACAGAAAGACCCCAGGTCCGAACCGGGGATCGAACCCAGGACCTTCTTGCTGTGGGGCGTCGGTGCTAACCACTGAGCCGTCGTGCTGCCTTTATCCCTTCGTATCTGAAGTACTGCCTTCCACACCTTTTGTTTTCTCACAGGAAGGCCTGTGATAATATTTGTCTCGTTTCCTGACAAGTTTAAACGGGGGTCAGATCAGTTGTTAAACTGTAAAATATATTTATTTTGCATGCACTTTTTAATCAACACTAATTTATTTCAGGGAAAGAAGCTTTATAGCATTTAAGATAATCCATTTTACATTGCATAGATTTTCCTAGCATTTAATTAATTCAAGCATTTAGTGTTTCTGATATGCATTTCCTACAAATACAAAGACTGGATAAAAACACTTTAATATTAAAGAAATCTGACCTTGACTTATTTTTTCACATATCTGGCATGTTTTGTTTTGAATTTGGTGCAGCCAGTAAAACCAGAAGTGACGACAAAAAGGGAACAAACTGTGGTTGATCTTTATCTCTCCCTGTCAGAAGTTCAAAATATTCAAAAGAAACAGGATTATTTGCTGTTATTTATTGTTTATTGTTCAGGATTTCCATTAGCTGGTCTTGTTAAAAACACATACAATACATTAAAAATATTCAAAATGTATGACAGATGACAAGTGTAACAGACATATCAATTTTAGGGCTGTGTATTAGCAAGAATTTGGCGATACGATACATATCATGACAGAGGGGTCACGATACGATATATCCCGATATATTGCGATACTGTAAGAAAGGCGATATATTGCGATTTTTTTTGTCCAAAAATTCTATTAAATAAAAACCTCTTACAGGGGAAAAAAATGAAAAACCAAAATTAATTGTCTCAGAAAATTCTAATACTACATAGACATACTTTTGATACATTTAACTGTGTTCTGCTTTGTTTTATTTTATTTGTTTCATATTTCTTATTTCATCCATGTTTTCAATTATTAGACTAAATTTGACAATAAATAAGTTTGAAAATTTATATTTTGCAGCTTTTAGTTTTTAAATGGCTGGCTCACTGCTGCCAACTAGTGGTCAGAGGCTGAACTACAACATAAAAATGAACGGCTGGCAGGAAAGTTGACACTTTCAACCTTAATAGAAC